GGAATGACAGCTGGCCCTTTTTAAGCACCAATCACCCAAGGATGAGCATACACCTACACCAGCAGGTATTTTTATTCTTTGTTTAAAATGGACAGTTCATAAATTTCAGTTCCACAGCAACTCTGGTTAAATATATAGGAGACCCAGTTCCAGGGCACATCGTCTGGGGAGCGGTCTCTGTGGATGAACTAGGGGAGAACACTGTTCTGGCATGCACAGTTAAGGTGAATTCAGGGGCTCTGGCATTCCACAGGAGCCAGGAGAGGATGTTGTCAGTCTATGGTAACCTTCAATTTCAGCACAGTTTGAGCAAACTTCTAACTGGTTATAGCAATTATCTGCTTTAAAAAGTCCCATTATGCAACTGCCCCCTGGTGTCAGCAAGAAGAGTGTTATTATTATTATCCCATCCTCCTTGCCTTTTGTCTTCTCCAGTGCTGTAGTGTGGAGACTTTTTTTCTCTTTCACATTACAATCACTGATTGTTTCCTCATGTCTTGGAATTGAAGTGGCTTTGGGGAAGAATTTCCATTTAGAATCCTTCCCAAATTTAACAAAGCTGACTTCTAAATTCCACTGAGTAGAGGGATTTCACCTTCTAAATACAAAATGCAATTGCTATTCCGATGAAGCTGAATTCTAAATATTTGATCTGTGCATGAAAATACCACTAGGATTTCCAGTTTCAAGGGGTGGTTGTAAGTAGTTGTGTTTCCTTACAAGCATAGGAGAGCAGCAATAGCTATAGAAGCCTCTGCATTTACAAGCATTCTTCTCAGAAAGTGGTTTGGATGCTAGATTTCTATCCTGCACTATGTCCAGTACTTGTACTATGTCAAAGACCTGCTAAAAGTAGGGAGGTGGCTGGGTGCTTGGTTTTTTTTAAGATTACCCAGAATAAATTTTTGACTTGTACAACTACAAATAGCTACTCATTATCCATGTACTTCAACAGTGGGTGAAGGGTGGCATCTACATATAATAAATAAAGTGAACACCACTAAGAGGCAAGATAAGTACAGCTGGCATCCAGGGTATAGCTGCAGCCAAAGCCTGTTTCAAGTGGCTGTCTTGAAGTTTAACTAGAGTTATTAAATGTTGATAAGCACTGTTCTTGTCTGCTCTTCTGCATCTATAGCTGATTCCTTTTGTTCATATCAGGAGAGTGTTTTGGTCTTTAGGAGCTGTGTACCTTCTTCAAAGGAGTTATTTGGTACATGTTCAAAGTCTGTTCTAGGGATTTTCCACTGAGGTAATGCCAAAGAGTCACTGAGGAGGATTTCAGATGTGGGGTGCAACAGGGGGCCCATCTCTAGGGGTGGCCATGAAGCCCCTGGAGGCCAAGAAAATTTCTTGCACCCTGCTGTCAGGGCAGTCTACGCTTCTTTTTTCCACTGCGCCTTGATGTAAATTGTTATTAAAATACAGGAGGCTGCCCTGATCTCCTAATGATCCCCAGGAGTAAGGAGTCGATGCCTTGGGGGCTAATTGCATGGCTCTATTCCAACATTACACCATGCCCAATGCTTCTCAGGTATTTTGAATCACTCAAGTGAGACACGTGTCCCTGCATGTCCAGGGCACCGCAGGCCTTCCTTCCCTTTTTGGGGTCTTAGCCTTCCCAGCTTATGCCCCGCTACTCTGACTGGTCCCGTAGCCAAGGTCCACTTTTCTAGGCTTGGCTGCTGGGCCCCAGCCCCCATCTTTCCCTCTTGGGCACTGGGCCCTGGCCCCACACACTGCCCTGCTCTGGGCTCAAAAGCCTCATTTTCTGCTCGGCTCTAGACTCTGCTCAGCAGGGGTTCAAGGCAGTCACATGCCCAAGGGGGATTAATGGGACCTCCAAGCTACCCCTTTAATCCCAAACCCAAACTACCAATCTAACATAAAATAAGGGCCACTTGTCTGCATAACAAGTCTCTCTCTCTCTCTGCCCCAGGTAACTCTCTCTTGTTCCCAGGTTTGCAGTGCTGCTTCATTCCAGTCTCACCATAAAATCAGGAGCCCTGTCAGGAGCTCCTCACTTCATGACTCTTGGGGCTAGGTTTTTTGGCCAACTTATATGGCCGACCTAAGCCCTCTTCCAGTCGCATGCTTACAGGCCTGCAGATAAAGCCCTACAAGGAGAGACTGAGGGACTTGGATCTCTTCAGCCTCAGCAAGAGAAGGCTGAGAAGGGATCTTGTGGCCATTTACAAATTCATTGTGAGGAGGGAGCAAGGAATAGGAGATGCTGTTTACCAGGGCATCCCTTGGAATAACCAGGAGCAAAAGCCACAAGTTGACAGAGAGCAGATTTAGCTTGGACATCAGGAAGAACTTCTTTATGGTTAGGGTTGCCAGAATCTGGAATGGGTTTTTAAGGGAGGTGGTACTTTTCCCTACCTTGGGGGTCTTTAAGAGGAGACTGGACAAGCACCTGGCTGGCTCCTACGACCCCAGTGCTCTTTCCTGCCCAGGGCAGGGGCTCGGGACTCGATGATCTATTGAGGTCCCTTCCAACCCTAACAACTATGAAACTATACGACACCCCTGTTGGCTGACTTGTCTGTAGGACTGTTCTTTAAGCCCCGTTCTGCTGGCTGCCTGTGCTACAAAGACTGGCCTGGAAGGAGCCGTGCCGCTTCTCAGTAACAGGACTAGGGTCCCCTGTTACAGGGGGACCTCAGAACTTTTGGACTGATTTAATTGCCCTAACCAATTTAATAATATACTCCCTTTACTGTAGCAGGGATTATGAATATTTTCCTTTTTTTTAAGTTTTTCATCCTGCTG